CTACGAAAATTTTGACTTATGCGACACGATGGGACTCAGGTGAGACTCATTTCTCCTCGCTGATCGTACAAACACCCGGCATGAGCTGGGCGCCGCACGGTGGGACCTTCGGTGAGTTGTTGGCCGTTAGTACCGGGTTGTTAAGAAGCGTATGGGACACGAGGATGGAAGCGTTAGAGTGGGGAAGGCGTTTGGTCTAAATACCAAAGAAAAGCGTCGAGCCATTTTCATGTCTCTGAAGAAGACGAGAAGGTCGAATCGTCAGGCCCATCAAAAGGTACCATCTAACAACCTCGTTTGGCAGAAGTAATTGAAAAAAATTCGATAGCCAAAGCTTTGTGTTATTATCGTGGCACTAGAGGGAACACTAATCGCACTGGCCCCGAAGAACACCCTAAATGTTTCACACTAATTCAGCTATTTTTCTGATTATTCAAGTGCGATACTTACGGCTTCTTTTCGACTATGTGGATTTCTTTGAGTTGTCCATCGGGATTACGGTCGTCAAGGATCTGAAAGTGGTACTTTCTCTGAAGATTTAAGATACATATCTGATGCAAAACGGAATTAGCAATGATGTCAAACGTCTTCGCACATGCAGTGGGTTATGCCTGTGCGGCGGATTCATGAACGTTCTCACTGACAGAACGACAGTCTTACCATTCGGCAAACATGCAGTTTCGTTGCTTTGATTTGGAGTTTGACGCTGTCGGAAATAGGAACAGAGTCCAGGAAACCAAAAATGCAGCAAGACGAAAAATGGTATTTTGTTGGTGAGGGGCAGCGGCGGATTTGTACTTCATTGGCGATCATGAATCCGCGTCCTGGTGGAGAAAAAGCGATCAACTGAGAAAGTCGGCAACACTCGGCAGTGTCATGGTTTTTTCTTAAGGCCCTAGTTCAGTAGAAAAGTGGCAAAGTGATAGCAATTTATGTCCTCATGTGTGTGTTACCCTAGACCATCCCCTTGAAAAATGCTAAGCTCGCATATGTGGTTTGTTCCGCTCATTCATTCTGGCTCTTACCATTAGTGACGCATTCGTGTAGGCAGTTGCTATAACTAGCGAACCCACAGAAATACAGCTAGTTTCTTGACTCCCGTAGCCTTTAAATAGTTTTCTTTCTCGTAGAAGTCCTTCACTTTCTCACTTTTTCTCTGGTACTCATTCTAGACCTTGCGCTAATCCGGAATGAAAACTACGCTTCCAATGTTCCAAATTGTCATATCAGCGTGCAGGAAAAATTCTTTCCTCCTGTATATCCTACAGGGAAGAATAGTAAGAGAACTTTCCCTTGTTTATGGGTGCCATGACACTGCCGTCAACTGAAAATAACGCGACAGTACTGCATTATATTACACACGGAATTTTACCGGCTCTCCCTTCTTCCAAAGCAGCTCCAAACTCTCGGTGGACTTCAAAAATGATGCTATTTCAAACTTGGTTTTCAAATTTCAGTTTCTTATTTGGCTGAGGAAGTCGTGCTTTAGCCTTCAAACCTTCATATAGGTGGAGCAGCGCTACCAACACGACCGCTACTACTACATAGGCGTACCTCGATACCGATCTGTATAGGAGAGAGAGACTACAAAAGACCTGAGAAAGGTCACCTTGTGAATGTAGGTGGTGTCTGGATCGTCGGGAATGTGGAATCCTATGAAGAACTCGTAGATCCAGGCTCCAAGAAGGGCTCCAAGCATTGGACAGATGATCGGGATCCAAAACCACTTGTAGCTGCGGTAGCTGTAAGATGAGGGCTGTTAGCAGGATGGATGGAAAGCAGAAGGCGAGAAACGGTCGTGGATCCAGATATCAGTCTTTGCACAACCTGCATAAAGAAGTGAGCCAAGAATTACCTGAATACTCTCCAACCGTAGCCAGCGCAAAGAGTGAAGAGTCTTGGACCAAAATCACGAGCAGGATTTATCGCGTAACCTGTAGTAGTTTTCGTGTGTTAGTAGAGAGGTTGCCGGGAGGATATGTTCATATATGATTGAAAGCCAATTGATGTGCTAAGATAATCTGTTCACCTGCATTTAGCGCGAAAGCCATTCCAATAACGGCCAGGAGTGATCCAATGAAAGCCGGCTGCAGAAACGGTGGAATTCGATTGCGTCGGTCAGTAATCGTTGCCACACCAAGGCAGAGAACCGCGGTACCAGCAATCTGAACCTTCCCATATAGGCTTCGTATTGAGTGCGTGAGTTCTTAGTCACTTATTTTTGGAAATTAAATGGGTCTAAGAGGAGCTTAATTTGATCCTCGTTCTCTTGCCGGCTTAGGAATATTTTCTGAGTTTCAGTGTTAGGCTGCGTTTATACTTTGCGGCAGCGTAGCGTAGCGCTTCCGCGTTTCACTAGCGTTTCGCTAGCGTTTGCAGCGGCGGGGCTAGAGAGTATAGAAGAGTAGGAGAGTACAGAATACTCTCCTACGCTAGAGAGTATAGAAGAGTAGGAGAGTACAAAATGCTCTCCTACGCTAGAGAGTATCGAAGAGTAGGAGTATTTTGTACTCTCCTACTCTTCTACACTCTCTAGCCCTGCCGCTGCAAGCGCTAGCGAAACGCTAGTGAAACGCTCGTGAAACGCTGGTAGCGCTAGATCGATACCTATACATCCCGTGCCCTCGCTACGCTGGCGTACGCTAGCGTACGCTGGTGGCGCTGGGAACGCTAGATCGATATAGCTATTCCTTTCCCCCGCACCTGCCGCTTGGCGTACGCCTGGGAAGCGCTGTCGCTTGGGCTGCGCATGTTTAATCGGCAAGCTTATTGTGAGTAATTAACGACAGACTGCAGACGGTCATCATGTCTCTGAGGTTTCGTGCTAAGGTGTATGACTCTAATGTGGCGCATTTTCATGTGTAGCGGGTGTAAGGAGAGCCCTTGTCGGTTTTGAGAGCCTTGAACAAAGGGATGCCTCAATAAGGCAAATGGCAGTTTGTAACAGCGCAGGTCAAATTGTTTGGGAGTGGTGTAGAATTACTGGGCCATCATGGGCCTTTTTAATCTTTCAGAAACTTTCATACTGAAGAAAGGGCAAAGGAAAGCAGTTCTATGCGCGAAAAGAATATAATTTGGTTTCTAGAAAGGTTACTTTTTTAGGAGCAAGTATTTTTTGAAATTCTGAAAACAAATTTCCTACACGAGTAAGGCTCCTGCTGATTTCATGGTTAACAATGATCGTCACAACAAGCCGAAGCCACAATCGCAGAAGGGGATGAAGTTTCTGTAGTAATCAACTCAAGTAATCACGACCGATGGATGTGATTTGACTTTGGAAGCCTGCTCCGGGATACGAAATTCAGGTTGTTGTAATATGGAACAGAAGTTATTAGAGGACTCGTACGTACTGTCAGCTATGAATCCCCTCAGCTGATTCTCTAATACACGAGCCTCTATGACAGTGAAGCGACAGGCGCTATCCTTGTCATTTGCAAGCTACTCGTGCTGGAGGGGGGACAGTGAGGGCGGAGTGGGGAGGGGTGCGGAATTGCCTGGAAAAAGGAGGTGTCACTGAAGAAAACACTACGCTTTAGCGCCTCCTTTGCAACTTGCCGCTAGGGATCTGTTACAATGTTGTTGGCCTCGGGACCCACTTCATCTCTGACAGTAAATCTTTCACGTTTTTGGATGGATCAATCACGCATCGTTCCTGCAAGTTTGATGCTCGGGTACCATACGAATAGAAATATAGCGTGGTTCGTTTGAGGCCGTAATCTCCAATGCGAGATTTTTGATTTAAAAGTGAGTGGTAGTAAGCGTCCCAATTAGAAATGAGTTGCCTGTGTATAACATAAAGAGATGAGACATGATTAAGCAGTCGCCAGTTCAATGAGAGGTAATTCAGCGAACGTACCCAAAAAACCAATGCTTAACGTGGAGGGAGTTATACTTTATGGTCAAGGAAGTGAAAGGTTCTACTCGTCACGAGCTGGTGCCACATAACAATACAATTGCTCCGAAAGATATACATCGAATTCAATAGGACAAGGAAAGGATAAGGAAGCAGCGGGACAAATTCGGTCAAAATAAGAGAGTTATGTACTCCACCAGGATGCGGAGGGACCGGCCATATCTAATTTGGCCACCTTGTGAAAAAGATAACAGCTCGGTTGGGAACTCTTTCCCAATTGATAGCATAATTAGGACCCTGAACTATAGAACCGCCATTGTCTCGTCCTCTAGGAAATTCATTGAACGGGAAACAATGCAACTCTCTGGAAGAGTTCGAGCACCACCCGCCCGCCCTGCCGCGCCCCGCCCCGCCCGCCCCCGCCACCCTAGCGCCCCCGCCCCGGCCCGCCCGCGCCGCCCCGCCCCGGGCCCGCGCCCGCCGCCGCGCCGGCACGGCCGCCGCCCCCGACACGTGACAAGCCTTTTCGTGTTATTAGGTAATAAGGGCGGGCATATTCCATGAAAATGGGTCAATGAATATTATATGGAGCTGACAAAGCTTTGACAAAGTGGAAAAGATGTCATTTCGCAAATCGATCTCCTTCTTGGAAATGGTTTTTTTTCTAGTCTACCATATAAATCGGCAAGAACTCTGCGGACATCCAATAGTAAAATGAAGCTTGTCGTAACGCCTCTAGCGTATCGCGGCAGAAACTCTTCTGCGGTGAATTTTGGAGGCTGTTTTGATTAAGATAAGGCGTGGGCTTTCAACGCCGCAGTAACCGTTCCGAATGTTATTCACAAGAATGCTGGTCATGGTAAAAAGTCCGTGCTCCAGGGAAGTCGAACCCGCACCTCACGCTTTCCGGGCCAGTGCGCTATGTGTTACGCACTCGCCCGGAAAGCGTGAGGGGAGGGTTCGCCTCCCTCCTGGGAGCGCTTTTGGGGCCCATGCTCAGGCATTTGTTGGGATAATATTCTCGGTAAGTTCTTTCATAAAGTAACCTCCGTATTCTGTGGATAATTGGGGCAATACTTCTGTGGTAAATTGGGGCATACCTGGTCGATAACGGCACCCAGTGTGCTGAGGTGAGGCTGCGGGTAGGTGGCGAAAATGTGAGCCGTCGAACGCGGTCCCGACACGTATCGAGTGCCATTGTCGAAGCTACTAATCGCGTCTGGAAAAATTTTCTTCATTAAATTGAAGCTTTATCTGTTCGATTACTTTGCTGCCAAATAAACTATGCCTTTTTCTTGCTAGCTGGGCTGTAGCATGTTATAAAATACACGCGCGGGCTACTACTTACACCACACCACACCATACCCCAAAGATGAAAGAGTCGCGGCTGCGTACTTCAATGGCGTGTGATGCGTTTTCCTGTGATATTTCCGTTCAAGATGACTGTCGTTTACACAGCCACGCCCAGTCTGTCTCCGTGATGTGGTGTGTATGATAGGTAAAAACATAGAAGAAATGGCAATGGAGATTCTGTTGCATTTTTGTGACAAGTCACGCAAGTGCAGTAGCCAAAATGATAATAATATCCTGAGCATGACTATAAAGCAGGGCACATCCTGGCGTTGGGCACAATTTTCGTTAAATCCGACCCCTCCTGCCGAATTCTCGCTTACAGAACGACATCCTCCCACAGCCAACCAATCATCTCAACATGGCCCCGCTAAAAGACCCACCGGCGAACGCACGCGTCGCAGTGTGCACGTTGCACTTTTACAGCAGCGATAAGGCGGCGAAAAGGAAACCAATGTCAGTGGTGAGTCATGTAGTCTTGAAGCAATGAACTTCTGAGCGCTCTGCGGAAGAATGGTAAACAAGGACAAGGTGAAGGCAAGAAGTAATGAATGATGATGACCGATTCATAGGATCAGGACATGGAGAGCAGATGAAAGGCGTATTCCAAAAGAAGGCGAGATATTTTTGAATAGATTACATGGCGGTTACCGATGGTATTTACCACAGCGCGCTCCGGCGCTATCGACACACGGGCTGATACATCATGCCCACTCCTCCACTTCATCGTAGCAACATCACTCGGCATGCACCGCGCCAACATCTCTCGGCATGCGCCGCGTTCACGCTCTCTTACCTCTTGGCTTTCCCAGAAACCTGTTGGCGAGCGAGGGAGTAGTAAGTAGACACCTCCAATCAATTATCGAAAGCAGTAGTTCGGGAGGGGAGGGGAGATGGGAAGGAGGTTGGTGTTATAAAAACCATGAAGCGTAGGAAGATGCTTCAGAAATGAAGCGCAGCAGAAGTTCTTGTCGCGGTTCTAGGTGGGTTCTCGAGCACAGAGCCATGGCGCCACTTACTTAGCACCACGAGTGTTCAACTTAAAAAACATGGCTCACAGACTTTTGAAAGTTCTATGACCCCAGGGGTAAACTGAGGTAATCGCTGTGACAACGAAGAAGGCGCTCAAGACCTGACTGGAAATCGCCTTATTTCAAAAGACGCATTCCGAAGAATGTGTCTTGGAAGGATGAACAATGGGGGAGGGGGAACAGCTCAACTGAAATCTTCATCGAAGTCATATATAGTTTTTTTCGTGTTACCATGGCAAGGAACACATCGTTGCACGACCAAGCGATGCTGTGACGCGTTTTGATCCATTTGCTACTCAAAGTGAGCAGCTCCATGCATGGCGCACATTTAACTCAGAAGACCATTTTAGCCATTTTTAGCTAACTGCTCAGTTATTTGGTTTCTTTAGAAGTTACACTTTAAAAATACTCAGGATTTATGAACGTAATCCCCTGCTGTATTAGGGGGTGGTTGAGTGCTCGACAGTACGGTAACTTCAGTAGGCGAACAACCATACACCGTACCC